CTCGAAAAGGGCGCGGCTTCACTGGCATGGGAACGAAGTGGGATCATATATATATATATATATGTTTTAAATCATATTCTCGATGCACCTGCCAGGTGTATATGCTGACACCTGATCTGAAGAAAGTCCAAACTTACGGAGAGGACAGAGCCACCCCGACGTGAAGAGACAAACGACCCTGCGAATCGGGTCATAATACAAGATCATTAAGATCTGTTTTTTTGGAGGTTGAGGCTTGGACCGGCTTAGGCTTAAACTTTTCATTCTTTTTGCCGTGCTGCTGAGATGCTGAGAGTTTTTGACCAGCTTTTGCAGGTTGGTCTTTGCGAAGTCTTTGCCATGTGACCCGTGCACTCGCACTTCTACTTGGTCTATGTCCAACATGGAAACTCAAACCATTTGTTCACATGTATATTATATACTCCGTAAAAGCCATGGGCTGCCCAACCCGCCCAACCCTGCCGGAGTTTCATTTTCTCTGTATTCACAGGACTTGAAGACAGAGAGGATTCGTGTCCTTTTCCATGGCTACGGCCACTACTCTGCGATGGTACAGGTGGAGGCGCCCGTTCTGAGACTGTTTGAGATCCTAAGACAAGGACCTGGAAGTGAGAATGGATAAAGTTGACTGTCCAAGAAGCACGGGACAGAGAACATGTTGCTCAATTGATCTCCTGTCCTATGCATGTGGTCCTGATCTTTTGGAGTTCAAACGCCACACGCTGCCATCGCTCTGAACTCTTTCACAATAATGTTCATTTCAACAAGATAAGCGTGTCATGGAACATAGAATCAGGATGAATCAGGCATCCGCAATCCGTGGCATCCCTCTGATTCAAGAAGCTGGAGCTGGATACAAGTGGTATGCCCCTGCCAAGCTAAGCAGAGCATAAGCTTTGCTACCCGCTCCTTGCCAGGAAGAAGAGGAAAAGTGAGGTGCCCGCGCAGTGTCCCCTGGACCTGAAATGTGGGGATGTCCGAAGTGGGGGCCCATGATGGATGACACGCTTGATTCTGTGGACCGATGACAGGCCACACGCCTGTTTTTATGGTATGTTTTGTTTTTTCTGTCAGCAGATCTGTGGGCCCCCAACTTCGAGGCGCACCCTCGCAGTTCGATTTCAGGTTCGATCGATTGATCACCTCCCGATTTGCCCCAAGTACTGTATCGATTCTGTCGATCTCGCATGAACACCGCCACAGGACTGACATGACTGTCCGTAGAAGCGAGTACTGTGGACTCGGATCTCTTCCACAGTAGTTTGGGCGGATCGAATTCACCCGCAGCGAATCACAAGACTCGTCCGCTGCCAGCAGAGATTCTTTGGAGCCTTTCTGCCATACTGCCACCTGAAAGGAAAATAGACAAAAAAACCGCCCATGCGCTATCTAGGCATGCAGCTTTTCAATCACCCCATGGTGATGGGCTGTTCGTGGTGATTTTTCGTGTGTGCACGGGCTGAGGCACTGGCTTTGTGTTTGCAGCTTTGAGTGCAAAGGCAGAACATTTGCAAAGTCTCCCTATCGTATTCTATGGTTTTCGACATCTGCGAGGGCGGTTCCACGCCACATGAGTTTCTGAGGTTTGGCACATGTGGACATTCTCTTACCCGCACCCTCACCATGCTTCCTTCATGGTCAGTACAACCTCTTTCGCATTCTTTCGCATTGCCAGGCACGGTTAAGGGTGACCGAGAGCCTCGTGCGCCGAAGGGTGACGCGCCAGGTGAACTTTGTCCTCTCACATTCAGACATTGAGCCACTGCCGGCATGCTTGGGATGTTGCATCGGTTTTTGCACTTATTTCATATGCTGACCATCCGATCTGCTTGACCAGAGGAACAGATGGGAACAGAGGCCATGTTGGCACTTCTCTTTTTTCGGACCTCGATTTTGTAGTGGAACTGATTCGAGGTCGATGTTCTTTTTGACTGGATGTGCTGCCAGGTGGCATGACTTGAAGCTGCCGGTTCTGACCTTTCAAAGGGGCAAGGCCATTTAAGAGAAAGCTTTGAAGAATTTGTGGGAGATATATGGAGATATCCTGCTTTGCAAATTTGGATGGCACTAAAACTGGAGAGATGCGTTTTCAGCATCTATATATTCGTGGGGCGATTGGAGACCCTCCAACTCAAGCACACCGAAAGACAGGGTGCCAGGTGACCAGGACCAATACATATCCTTGGCTTGCAACTTTCGAGTCCTTAATTCCAGTGATTTGGGATTGTTCGATTCAACTGAAAAATGGGTCTTCTCAACCGCGACTTTTTTCCAAGTTATAGTGTTTGGAAGTTTAGTGTTCACTGTGATTGGGTACGTATGTGGTGGATTGTCCGAAGTCAACGACTTCCCTGCCAACATTCCGCAGGCCACACGGCGTGTGATCCGGGTGCCCATGCGCCTTGCTGAGCGACGGAGACGACTGAGTGACTTGGGGTCTTGTCAGTCAAAATGGTGCCAGAAGAAGGCGAGCAAAAACTTGAACGCCTGATATCCAGAATTCTAGAGATCAAGTAGGCACCAACCATGATATGTTTGCACAAGCCTCCAAAACCAAGCACCCACAGTGTGGATGGTGAAATTCATGCGCTCCATTGTAGTGAAATGAGCCTTCATTGTTGGTATTTCCCAAGGGACATGGGAGTTGATCGAAAACCCCGTGTAAGGAGTTTTATATAAAACAGCCTTTCAGATGTTGTTAGAACCATCCGCGAAAGATTCGCGATGAGGTTCGCGAAAGTATCTTTTTTTTCCGCGAAAGATTTATCGAAGGTCATCGCTTTCATTGTTTTCCTTTCTACCGGACTGACAAAGAATAGAAACGCAAGGCAATCCTCCGGCAGAGCCAGTGGGCGAAGTGTCCCCATGTCACAGACTAACGAACTGAAGCCTCAACCTTTCCGTGCCCAGCCCTGGCAGTGCGTAAAGGATTCTCCGATTCCTGTCCCCACTGTCACATACTAGCAAGCTGGGTAGGCGCAGCCCTGACAGTGAGGCAACGACCTGCCGCTGCTCTGACGGGCTGTGCAGATGTTTGCAAATGTTACGGCGTCCCGGGGAAAGCACCAGTGAAATTTCGCGAAAGATCCGCGAAAGCTTCGCGAATGTGCCGCTAAAGTCTAGGTTCCCAGCTTGAGGCCCCCAACATTCCCCAAGCTGCATCACCCTGTGTTGGTAGCTGACACGAGGATTGGGTTGAGTTGTGCCTGACTCTATTTGGCACAATTGTCGCACAGATGCTGCAAGTGACCCTGAGTAGCTGTGCAAACGTTCAACCATCTACTGGGGTCATGCTGCAAGACGTCTCTCCCTATTATGACGTGTTCCGGCTCATGTTAGCTAGACATGGTTGTAGGATCGTGCTTCGCGATGAGGCCGCGAAAGATCCGCGAAAGACATCCTTTTTTCCGCGATGAATGGCCATTCCAGGATGAAAGAATATTGATCAGCCACCATATGTGTAATTCGCAGAGTCGCAGGTTGCTTTTGACAACCCAGATTTGTAGAGTCGCATCTAGTGTAAGGTGGGAACAGCTTGATGGTTCTTGGAGCCGGAAGGCGGCACTTTGGGAGGGAGTTGTTTGTCGAAAGTGGGGATCTTAGAGAATTGCAAGTCAGTGGAGGAATTCTTTGGGTGATAAGTTTTGGCAAGCTTTGGACAAGAGGGCGATTCTTTTCTTCCTTGTCCACTATTTGTGAGCTGTCCATGCCAAGTAAGCCACTCCTCATCTTGTGTGGAGTGCTTAGTTACTCCGTAGCAATAGAATCTTTCGTTTTGGAGCTGCAGCCAGGTGGAACAGCTGGTCTTGAGCAATGACGGTGTGGGACTTGATTCTAGATTGTCTACGGACGGATATATGTATATATATATATATATAATACACACGAGTTGCTTGTATAATACGGTTTTGCAGTGCCAACAAATCTCTTCTACGTGGGACTCATGTGTTTGTTCTCCGAAGCTCTATAGTCTATAGTTTGAGCGACACGGAAAAAGTCCAAAGTCTTGGCAGACCTTGAACCTATTGACCTTCCGGAGATCTATATAGCGGTCTGACCACTGGTAATGAAGATCTACTGTACCAGTTTCATCAAATCCTCATTTACAACTTTGCCTTTCAAACATTTCTCCAATAGGCGCATCTCCTTTGATTTCCTGACGGTCTGCTATCTTGGAACCAGGTGCGAGGACCTACGACGGCAAGCGTGGGCAGCGGGTTTTTTGGAGAGGCGACGTGGCGGACTGGATGACGAACCTCAGACGTGGCGGACTGTGACTGATTCCTACCATTTCTGTGAAACACCTCCAACAGTCTCCGCTTTGCTACACCATCTACCGATGAGAGCAAGCGTCATGAAGAAGCGTCACCACGCAAATTCGGCCATGAGCGAAAGGTTCCGCAGCTAGGACATGGTGAATCAGGCAATTGCCTGATTCACCATGTCCTAGCTGGCTCATAAGGATGAAATGGTTGAAACAGCTTGCGAGAGACCTATTTTGTTTCAACCATTTAAGCCATGGTTTTTCATTTGTCTTTGCTAACGCAGAGCGGCCAGCTCTAGGCACTGACAGTGCGGTGCCAGCACAGGCAGGGAAAGAAAAAGACCTTCGGCTGAGAGAGTACCCTTCAAAGTTGATTTCATGTTTTATTAACATTGTAATTCGGGATTCAACACATATTTGTTATTCCCCAATAGCCATGCTATGGGGTCTTGCAAAACTAATAGGCGGACGGGCGCCGTCGGGTCACCGTCAGAGCTGGTGGGCGGATGGTGTCCCGGTCATGTTTTGATGGTGTCCGGGTCATGTGATGCTGGTGTCCCGGTGTCCCGATCATGTTTTGATTGTGACTTAATCATGTTGTGATGGTGTCCCGGTCCTGTTTTGATGGTGTCCCGGTCATGTTGTGATGGTGTCCCGGTCATGTTGTGATGGTGTCCCGGTCATGTTGTGATGGTGTCCCGGGCATGTTTTGATGGTGTCCCGGTCGTGTTGTGACGGTGTCCCGGTCATGTTTTGATGGTGTCCCGATCATGTGATGGTGGCGCGGTCATGTTGTGATGGTGTCCCGATCATGTTTTGATTGTGTCCCAGTCATGTTGTGATGGTGTCCCGGTCGTGTTTTGATGGTGTCCCGGTCATGTTTTGATGGTGTCCCGGTCATGTTGTGATGGTGTCCCGGTCATGTTTTGATGGTGTCCCGGTCATGTGTTGGTGTCCCGGTCATGTTGTGATGGTGTCCCGATCATGTTTTGATTGTGTCCCAGTCATGTTGTGATGGTGTCCCGGTCCTGTTTTGATGGTGTCCAGGTCATGTTTTGAAGGTGTCCCGGTCATGTTGTGATGGTGTCCCGGTCATGTTTTGATGGTGCCCCGGTCGTGTTGTGACGGTGTCCGGGTCCTGTTGTGATGGTGTCCTGGTCATGTTTTGGCGGTGTGCCGGTTATGTTTTGATGGTGTCCGGGTCATGTGACGGTGTCCCGGTCATGTTGTGATGGTGTCCTGGTCATCTTGTGATGGTTTTCCCGTCATGTCATGTTGGTGTCCCGGTCACCTTGTGATGGTGTCCTGGTCATGTTGTGATTGTGTCCCAGTCATGTTGTGACGGTGTCCCAGTCATGTTGTGATGGTGTCTCGCTCATGTTGTGACGGTGTCCCGGTCATGTTTTGATGGTGTCCCGGTCATGTTGTGATGGTGTCCTGGTCATGTTTTGGCGGTGTGCCGGTTATGCTTTGATGGTGTCCGGGTCATGTGACGGTGTCCCGGTCATGTTGTGATAGTGTCCCGGTCATGTTGTGATGGTGTCCCCGTCATGTCATGCTGGTGTCCCGGTCACCTTGTGATGGTGTCCCGGTTATGTTGTGATGGTGTCCCAATCATGTTGTGACGGTGTCTCGGTTATGTTTTGATGAAGGAAGAGATGGTCGATGTGTTGAAAACAGCAGCTGTTTCCAGATTTTTCTTTTTGTCCTGGTTTGTATCTTGCTATTGGGGTCTCCAGCTGGGCTAATTATATATAGACAATTTTGGCAGTTTATTTTTTTGAACTACTGTACATGCTGTACACCTTCATGAACCGAACTTCCTCTTAAGGGACACCACAGGTGCTCCTCTTTTTCGAGTGCACTCGCCTAGCCGTTGAGGACTGTGATCCTCAAGTGCATGTGGCCTGCCATGTCTGCTACCCAACTTGCAGAGTCGCTCTGGCCAGAGGATGTAAGAGGGTTTTGTTACTAGTAGCTTCTTGTTACTAGTAGTAAGGCCAGGAGCCCCTAATAGCGTCCTTGTTCCTAGTAGCGAGGCCAGGAGCCCCTAGTAGCTTCTTGTTGCTAGCAGCGATGCCCTTGTTTCTACTAGCTTCTTGTTCCTAATAGTAAGGCCCTTTGTTCCTAGTAGCGATGCCCTTTGCTCCGTTCGTAGCGTCCTTGCTAGAAAAGGCAAGTGTTGAATTCATGTTCATAGAATCGCTATACGGGAAGCGGGAACTAGACCTACCAGAACTCAAGGCTTAGGGGGGTTTTAGTTCTTTTTTGTTCCCCGTTTCTTTCGTTTGATAGAGCCAATGTCCAGAGCAGAAGCTCAAGAACAATCGCTGTAGATACTTCTATATACCATGTCTTCTGAGTTTTGATTCGTCTGGGCTGCTGGACATTCGTGGCCCCGCGACCCCCATCACAGGCCTGTTAGAACCGGTCAAGATACTGTACATACCAAGATCACCGACACTGCCGATGTTCGCGAAGAACGCGCGTGCCATGCGCTATTCACCTGGGGCAGTGCCATTATCAATTCCCGTTGGCACCGCAATTTTGAGGTGGACAACTCCACTCTTCGCTACTTCTCACGCGGGCAGCTGAGAGAGGACAGTCATGCAGTGCACATTTTGAGATGTTCGATTGAGCTACTACTGGCCAGGTGTAGTCCCAGGCAAGCCAGTGACCATGCGACTGTAGGCAGAACTGTACACCAGACTAGTCAAAAACGCCTATGCTTATGAAACGTCACTTGCATGCATCAAGACAGGATTCCCCAAAGTTCTAACTTGGGGCTTGGTGTTTTGATTCGATCCTGCTTTGGCCTCAATCCGTCAGACACGGGATTGATCCATGGCCGTGCAAATTGCACGCCACTTGCCACTGTCGTGCGCTAGCTTGACCGCCAATGGACCTCGGGCGACCACAGGGGACTTCCCTCTGAGGTCTCAAGGTCTCGCGGATGTCGCGACAGCTCCCTCGACGGATCGACGCCAGCCTTTCAGGCGAGGAGTGGGGTGCGCGTGCCGGGCGGACAGGGCCGGTGCCAATCGCTTCAGATCCTTGAACACCCTCAGAGTCTGGTGGTGAATGTGGGACTCTGACTGTGATGAGTCCTCAAGGTCATGGCGGAAAGGCAGGCAGAAGGTTTCGCTCTATTCACTGATGGTCCATATGGGATCAAATGGGATCCAAAACCGCAGAATCCGCCTGGCAAAATCACGACATGCATGCACATCGGGGTCCATGTGGGCTTGTACATGTTTGTATAGGTTATAATAGGTTAGGTTTACAATGGTATATATATATAATTTGTTTATCAATATCGAATGAATGGGGCCAGCGCTACGTGGCAGAGCCACAAGACAATTTGAGGTGCAACATGAGATGTCGTTGGACGGCAGTAGTAGTTCTGCTGCACACTTGTCAAGAGTTTAGACATTCCAGCACTCCTTTACCTTCCACTGATGTTTTTCAGAATACTGTCAATAGCACATAGACACACACACACACAAACAGACAACATATTGGTTTTCCTACGACGAATGCCCCAAGCCCTGAAGACACGTAAGCAACCAAAAGACATCAAAAGGCCTAATGGGCAACCACCGAGGAATCTCAAAAAAGGTAAGAGGTGCCAAAAGATCCAAAGTCTCATCATCAAGTTCAACGGTACTAGTAGTAACAAGTGCACCGCTACTAGTAGCAAGTGCATCGCTACTAGTACGAGTGCATTACTATTAAGAACAAGAAGCTACTACTAGCGAGCGAACGCATATTTGCAGACCTGTACCAACCTGCAGCCTGAAGACCTTTGCGAGTGGAGAATGGCTAGAACATTCACAACTTCCTGTGCAGGTTTGTTGAGTTGATCAGACTTGGTATCCCATGATTGTGGTAGCTTCGTTGAGTGCGGTACCACTATCATGTCGCACTCCCCTGCAAACAAGTACAAAACAACAACTAGCATTAATGTGTACAGACGACATTTGATTCCAATATGGGTGTATATATACAGACACACCACCCAGACATCGTAAGAAAGCAATACAAAATTAAGAGATTTGAGTTTCATTATTTGCGCAAAGTGCGCACTTGTTTCGGTTTGGGGTTCTCAAAGATGGGGTTCGATCCTGGCCACAGAGGCGTAAAGCAGCGCGCAGTGGCCATCGGTCAGGGTGCCAAGTTTACGACAGTGCCAGATAGCCATAACTCCTTTGCCATTTGTGGATGGTTTGTTGTTGCAGATGTTGATCAGTAGATCACGTGGCACTGGGACTTTACTGGGACTTGTGGCACCACATGTTGCAATACATGGAAGAACATGTGTGCCATGTGTTGCTTGTGTGTTCCAGGAACTTTCAACATGCCACATCTGACTTTTCGCGTTTCCAGTTGATTCGCCCACGATTCCGACATTGATTCGCAGTGGACAGCAGTTCGACAAATGGTCGATGTGTCCAAACGGGAACGAGACACGGCTTTCAACTTTAAACACCACAGCTTCGAAAGGTGAGTTGACGCACCTAGAAAACACTATGTGGTGTCGATGAGGTTCTTGTAATCAGCTCCGGCAGATGACTTAGCACCTCCCAGGCTTGGACGCAGTGTACCGAAGGTGGGGAGCCCTAGTGGCACATATGAGAGCACACAAAATGAGAAGTCACATGTGAGAGCAGACAGGAAGAGCACACGCTTGCTTGGATGCCAAAAGTCGAGGCTAAGGAGTCTATACGAAATGGCAACACTATTTTGCGATGGTAGCAAATTATGAAGCCGCATGCAAGAGAATTCTTGAAAACACAAGCTAGGCGCTAGCGTGGCGCTGGTGGCTTTTGATTGCTAGAAGCCGTTTGCTTGGACCACATATTCAATCTTAATAAGGACAGTATTGGTAATGGGATATACCCAAGCACCCTTTTTGTCAACCAAACATATATGAATCATATGAGAGCACGCATATGTGAAAGCACATACGCACATATGTGATGGCGAGAACACGTATAAGAGCACACACGCACACATATGAGAACGCGCAATTGAGAGCGAACATGATGAGAGGACTCACGTATGAGAGGACACACACACACACACATCAGAGCACACGCAGGAGAGCGCACACAGGTATGCGAGCACACAGATTTTAGAGCACACAGATGAGAGCGCACATATAAAAGCACAATGAAACACATAGATTAGATCACATAAATAAGAGCACACAGATGAGAGCGCAAACATAAGAGCACGTGCATGAGATCACCCACACATGAGTCAAATCAAAGTCCAAATATGCATTTTAAGGTTTACATATGTTTACAAAGTGCCGTGCTTGCCACAAAGCCACAAAGTCTGCACTTCCAGATCCGACAGGTGTCTTGCCTCGCATTAAGTTTGCACTTCACGATCAGCCACGCGCTGCTGCGCCTGCCAAGTGCACACACACACAAGTGTGTGGAGACCCTGCGGGAGAACACACACACACACACACCCGCGAGAGAGAGAGAGAGCACGCACGGGAAGCGTACGACCTTAGTCTCACCCTAAGAACCCCTTTGTTCAAAGGTCTGGAGAAAATGGGGTACAACCTGCCGGGTTGTTCCTTGGAGGTAGTAACAAGTGCCTTACTAGTAGTAACAAGGTTAGCTAGTAGAAAAGAGTGACCGTCACAGTGCCTCGAAGTGGACCGAGTTGTGCCCTTGAGCTCAAAGCCTCCAATAGCCACTCGCGGCTGTCGTGGGAGCAATGAGCCTTCCTTTTGAGGAGCAAGGGGACCTCATCGCAACCATCATGGTGCAGAACTCCCAAAGTTTTTTTCGCATAAACCTAAAATTTGAGGAGTGCACATTGCAGACAGAGGCCAGGCTAGTCGGTTCTTGTAGGTTTCCATGTTTGATCCCCAATAAGTTGGTTTGTATGTTTGAATGTGCAAGGTTATGAAACCCACCCTGAGGTTCTTGAGCAACTTTGCAAACTCTTAGAAAGTGTTGCAGCATCGCTTGAGGGCTACGGGGAGGAGGAAAGTGCAGCTTACAGCAGGGCAAAAGTGACCGGACTACGAAAGCTGAAGGACAACTTGGATGCGCTGCAAACATTTTTGGTTGTTCAGTTGATATGACCCCCTCCATGAGGGTGTAGTATTGGCGAAGGACACACATTTTCTCCTTGCCGCCCTTTCCTGTCAAGGCGCTTAGATGCTTCAAACTTTTCATAGCTGTCTTTGTAATTCATATCTGATCTCGCTATAGAAACAGTTTGCTGAACTGGGACCCCAGACATCTAGACCCTCCCAGTGCCAGATTTCAGATTTTTGGATACGTTTCAACACGGGTCTTCGCCCCAAAAAGACATCTCCAAAACTGACTCGCTATACGACTGACTCGCCTTCTGAGGAAGATGTGATCCAAGCGTACTTGGGCCGCCCCAAAGCACTCTTCGGCAAGTCTCCACGTGAATCCAAGGAGTTCTATGACGAGTTGGAGAGCCACTTGAACCCAAGCCTTGTGAGACCAGAGGCCCCTTTGCCAAAGCGTGAGCTATACCCAGAGGAGCCAGAAGGCAAAGCGTCAATGCTGGTCAGTGAAGCGGAGACCAGAGGCCAGGTGTCCTGCTGTTGGCCTGTGAAATCTTCACATCTTTTGATTATTTAGCACCCGCCACCGGTCAGGTTTTGGTCGAAGAGCCATATTGAGACACTAGTAGTCCCTAGAACGAGCTGTTGATTGTGGGAGCAGTCCTTCAGAACAGGACAGCTGACGTGGTCCAGACAATGTCCAGACAATTCAAGGAGATCTGCTCGAAGACACTTGCTGTATGTCCAACTATATGTCTTAGACGAGACCACATAGAGACGCTGTCTTTTCCTTTTTGATCTAGCCAATCTACCAAGACCAACCAGGTCTGGTCTGCCCGTCCAGGTACCTCCTCGCACTCGGTCAGCTTCGGCAGAAATCTCATGACCAAGAAGAGCAGTGTTCGAAGCAGCCGTAGCAATGAGAGTGTCACTTCACCATCCATGAGATCTCAAAGCTACACCAAACGCTTTCTGAGCTTCTTCTCCCGGTCGACACGAACAGATATGCAGCTCGAGGACTGCCGCTGGGGGCGGCGCCCAGATCGAAGTGTCACACCGGTCACGCCGATGACATCCAGCCCAGGTAGTCCACCCAGTCCAACTCCCAGTCCTCACCTTTCAGGCCGGGCTCCAGGCTGCATGCCAGAGTGACCAGTCATTGACCAGTCATCGGCCTAAGCTGCTGCTGTGCCTGAGGGATTCAGCAGGCTCATCATGTTGAATCTTGAAATCCCAAGCATTAGCATGCATCAGCCACTGTTGTACAGTAGTGTACGGTATTTCTATCATTCCCTGGTTCTACCGCCTAGGCGCTCGATTGCCTAGATTTATTCTGGCAACGGCCCGACACTGGTAGACCGAAATCATGTTAGATCAGGGCTGGAGATCGGGCATTCCAGCATTCCATCTCCGGCTGTGCACGTGCCCACAAAGTAGAAGATTCCTTTAAAGCAAGTTTCACCTCACGTGCGACTTTGCGACGTCGCTCAGCCTTTTTTACTCCATGTGACTAAAGTCCATGGAGTCCCTGAGTGATTTTCAGTTGCACATCAGATCCGTGCAGGTCCATGCCGTAGAGCTTCTCGAATTCAACACCAATTAAACCAATTTGGGGAATGAGATGAAAGGCCTCAAGGCCGCTCTTTGGTTGCAGACTCTGACATGACCTGTCGGTGATTAGGTGCAACGCCCCTGTCGCTGCCTGTCGCTTCGAAAAGAGCTTAGAAGAGGGGAGCATCAGAGGTTTAGCGTTTTGGGACCCGTCAGGACTCAGCTGGAAGAGCATTTTCCTTTTGCAGCCGATGGGTCTCTGATGTATGTTTGTGGGGTAACTTATTTTGCATGGAAGACCACGTGACAAACAACAGTCGGTTGGTCTTGGATGGTTTATGACGATGCATTCTGCACTACAAGTGTTGGCTGTCTTCAAGCATTCCAAAAGATGTTACGTCGCCAGGCTTGGTGTGCTGGATGAAAGCCCTCGAGAGGTAAGCATTGAGGAGAGAGGAGTAGAATGGAATCAAGGTCAGTATGTAAAAGGCAAAGTGGAAACGGCGAATTCTCAACCTCTTCAAGAATAGTAGAGCTCAATGCAAGCAATGATCATGAGATTGATATGGTTCACACTCGTACAAAGATCTCCTAGCGCCATGTTCCTATTGACCAGTTGGAGATTCTCGAAACAGACTCAAGAACCCAAGACCCTTCATATATATATATACATATCTATATATATCCACATACAAATGGGTGTAGATACAGATTCATTCTTACATCCAACCAAGGTGATTTACCAATGACTAAAAGCACGTAGCCACATGCACACACGCACACTCTCTTTAGTGTCTTCACCTTCAGGAGCAACTTCAACAGCGCTTCCTGTTGGATATGGATGGAAGTAGCCAGCATGGACCCCAGTACATAATATGCTTCATGATGCAGTGGTGCGTGCTGGTTTGTCTGTTCCCTTTTGGAAGGGTCCCCCACCATGACTTTTCACAACCTTTGCGAAAAAATACTCTACGAGTGATCCCCACCATGACAAATCAATCATTTGTCTTCATGCCATGGTGAGGAGCATGTTGCCATGGTCGTGAGTTTTGCGGATCTCGACTTCGTTTGTGTGGTGTGCTGTGATTGTGTGTCGTGGTTGTGTTTCTGGTCGTATGTTTGTGGTGGTGTGATGTGGTTGTGTGTTTGTGGTCCGGCGTTTGAGGCTGGCGTTTGAGCTCCGGCAGGGAACACTGCGGCCCGGCGGGGAACACTGCCACGCGACCCTCCCGGTTCAGGTCCGGCGGGGAACACGGCGACTCACCTGACAGATGGGGAACAAGACAAGAATAGAAAAGGTACTTTCCTGCGCTATATTTTAGCTTGTCATTTGCTGGGCAGGCTCTGGAAAGGCCTCTTTTGTAGCATTGGATGTGTGCTAGGCGTGCCTATGGCAGACCAATCTTTGTGCACACTCCCATGTGCAGCTGGTTGAAGCGCATAGTTTTTGATGCCGACAGCTTAGAGGCTTAGTGTCAGACTTCGTGCGACGTTGCAATGAATTATCAACTTCCCACTAGCCTGTCAAACAACTTACCAAGAATAAAGACAATCTCTCTAACGCCAACGCAGAAACTCATCAACAAGTAGTTACAACTACAAGCAATTTCCTTTTTCTTGATAGTTTTGTGTGCATAAACTTACGACCAAAAGACAGAAGAAACTGATCACATTGTTCAGACATTATTTATGAGGCTTACGCCTGACAGCCGGGCGCCGGCCTATTTGGGTTTGGGTGTGTGCAGGGCTGGGTCCTCTCTCTCTCTCTCTGTCTCTCTCCCTCGCTTCTCTCTCTTTGAGACTTGGTGGGGCCTATATTGAGCAAAGTTAAGCTATATGGTGCGCATCTTGGCCCTAGGTTGGGCCAAGTGGAGCCCATGTGGTCTATGTTGGGCACATCTTGGGCCCAAGTTGAGCCTATGTTGGGCCTAGGTCGGCCTATGTTAGGCCTATGTTGGCCTAGGTTGGGCCTATGTTGGGCCTATGTTGGCGTATGTTGGCTCCATGTTGGCATATGTTGGCCCTATGTTGAGCCATCTTGGAGGCTATGTTGGGCATATGTTGGCTATCTTGGGCCTATGTTAGGGATATGTTAGGCAACTTCTGTGCCCAACACCCACGAAATGTCGATTAAGCCTGTCCGCGCGGCGCGCATAACCGACACCGCCGGCGCCCTGTTAGGCGAAAGTCATATCCGCCGAAGGCCACGAAACACTGTAAAAAACGATGTTTTCCACATCATGCGCAATCGTGCTGGTAGATAAAAGTTAAATGACATAAAAATCTGTCGACCGGATTTAACCTGAGGTCGACCGGGGGTATACCGGAGGTCCAACAAAAGGGTCGGCGGCAGGGGCGGCGAGCGTATATAACCTTCGGTTACCAACCGAAGGCCTCCGGCAAGGACACGGGCCCGTGGCCGGCGCCCGGATTTATGAGGCTTACGCCTGACAGCCGGGCGCCGGCCCACTTGGGTCTGTGGGGTCTGTGTAAGGCTGGGTCCTGTGTCTCTCTCTCTCTCTCTCCCTCTCCTCTCTCTGTGTGTCTCTGTCTCCTGTATCTCTCTCTGTCTCTCTCTCTCTCTCTCTCTCTCTCTCTCTCCCTCTCTCTCTCTCTCTTTGAGACTTGGTGGGGCCTATATTGAGGAAAGTTAAGCTATCTGGTGCGCATCTTGGTCCCAGGTTGGGCCAAGTTGGGCCCGTGTGGTCTATGTTGGGCACATCTTGGGCCTAAGTTGAGCCTATGTTGGGCCTAGGTTGGCCTATGTTAGGCCTATGTTGGCCTAGGTTGGGCCTATGTTGGCGTATGTTGGCCCCATGTTCCCCTATCTTGGCCCTATGTTGAGCCATCTTGGAGGCTATGTTGGGCATATGTTGGGGATACGTTGGCTATGTTGGGCCTATGTTAGGGAGATTTTACGCAGTTTATATTCAAAAAAATCTTCCGATACAACTTTTTACGCTTTTTCCGTCCCGCAAAGCAAAAACCATGGAAAAACCTACGTTTTTAACATCTCCAAGATGAAATTCTCGGCCGCCGAGGGGCCCAAAACCCTGTAAAACACAGTGTTTTGTGTACATCACACACACAAAACACTGTAAATTACATATAAATCTGTCGACCGGATTTAACCTCAGGTCGGGCGGGGGTATACGCGAGGTCCAACAAAAGGGTCGGCGGCAGGGGCGGCGAGCGTATATAACCTTCGGTTACCAACCGAAGGCCTCCGGCAAGGACACGGGCCCGTGGCCGGCGCCCGGATTTATGAGGCTTACGCCTGACAGCCGGGCGCCGGCCTATTTGGGTTTGGGTATGGGTATGTGCAGGGCTGGCTCCTCTCTCTCTCTCTCTCTGTCTCTTTCTCTTTCTCTTTCTCTTTCTCTCTCTCTCTCTTTGAGACTTGGTGGGGCCTAGCTTGAGCAAAGTTAAGCTATCTGGCGCGTCTTGGTCCTAGGTTGGGCCAAGTTGAGCCCATGTGGTCTATGTTGGGCACATCTTGGGCCCAAGTTGAGCCTATGTTGGGATTAGGTCGGCCTATGTTAGGCCTATGTTGGCCAAGGTTGGGCCTATGTTGGGCCTATGTTGGCGTATGTTGGCCCCATGTTGGCCTATGTTGGCCCTATGTTGAGCCATCTTGGAGGCTATGTTGGGCATATGTTGGCTATCTTGGGCCTATGTTGGGGATATGTTAGGCAACTTATGTGCCCAACACCCACGAAATGTCGATTAAGCCTGTCCGCGCGGCACGCATAACTGACACCACCGGCGCCCTGTTAGGCGAAAGTCGTGGACGCCGAAAGCCACGAAACACTGTAAAACACGATGTTTTTGAACATTTTTTGAACATCCTCCGCAAGATACATATAAATCGGTCGACCGGATTCGGGCGGGGGTCGACCGGGGGTCGACACGGGGTATACCGGAGGTCCAACAAAAGGGTCGGCGGCACGGGGCGCGAGCGTATATAACCTTCGGTTACCAACCGAGAAGGCCTCCGGCAAGGGAACGTGCGCGTGGCCGGCGCCCGGATTTATGAGGCTTACGCCTGACAGCCGGGCGCCGGCCTATTTGGGTTTGGGTATGTGCAGGGCTGGGTCCTGTCTCTCTCTCTCTCTCTTTGTCTCTCTTTCTCTCCCTTTCTCTTTCTCTTTCTCTTTCTCTTTCTCTTTTTCTCTCTCTCTCTCTCTCTCTCTTTGAGACTTGGTGGAGCTATCTGGTGCGCATCTTGGCCCTAGGTTGGGCCAAGTTGAGCCCATGTGGTCTATGTTGGGCACATCTTGGGCCCAAGTTGAGCCTATGTTGGGCCTAGGTCGGCCTATGTTAGGCCTATGTTGGCCTAGGTTGGGCCTATGTTGGGCCTATGTTGGCGTATGTTGGCTCCATGTTGGCATATGTTGGCCCTATGTTGAGCCATCTTGGAGGCTATGTTGGGCATATGTTGGCTATCTTGGGCCTATGTTGGGGAGATGTTAGGCAACTTCTGTGCCCAACACCCACGAAATGTCGATTAAGCCTGTCCGCGCAGCACGCATAACTGACACCACGGGCACCCTGTCGTGGACGCCGAAGGCCACGAAACACTGTAAAAAACGATGTTTTTGAACATTTTTCGAACATCCAGCGCAAGATGCATAAAAATCTGTCGACCGGATTTGGGCAGGGGTTGGTCGGAGGTATACCGGGGGTCCAACAAAGGGGTCGGCGGCAGGGGCGGCGAGCGTATATAACCTTCGGTTACCACCGAAGGCCTCCGGCAAGGACACGGGCCCGTGGCCGGCGCCCGGATTGTAAGGGCTTTGCCCGGTTGCCGCCGACCCCTTTTCAAGAGGAGTGTAGCATGTGTAACTGAAGGCCAAAGGTGGAGATGCCAATGCCAATAAGGTTGCACTCTGCGAGGCGCCGAGAAGCGTCTGAGGGGGGCCGTCGCCCTGGGAGCCTAGAAAAGAAGAGGCTGGCCTCGGCTGCTAGCACCGTACGTGGCAGCCCAGGCCATGCCAAGGCTGCATGGCCTCGGACAGGCTAGCTGTGGCCTGTGCTAAAGCCCACAAAGGTGGAGTTGCCAATGCCAAGGTTGCACCCTGCGAGGTGCCGAGAAGTGTTTGAGGGGGGCCGTTGCTTTGGAAGCCTAGAAAAGAAGAGGGTGGCCTCGGTGGTTAGCGTCGTATGTGGCAGTCTAGGCCATGCCAAGGCTGCGTGGCGTCGGACAGGCTAGCTGTGGCGACCAGTACAGGAGTTGGCCTCTTGATCCAATATCATACCCGTACCCCGAAGATCTCAAGGTATTTTGGGGTTCCCTTGTCGTGTTGCTTCGTTGGATATATTTTGGGGCCGCAGAAATCCAGATCCCTGCGTCTCAGACGTCTCAGATATGGCGTGCCTGATTTTTTGTCCATCAAACATCTTCCGTTGATTAGCTGGAGCTGGAGAAGTCGGTCGCAACATGGTCTCTGGATTCCCCAAAAAACACAAACGTGCTCTCAAATAGGGTGTTGCGGCAACCGGTTTTACGTCAAAGAAGGCGCTGTTAGCGCGCAGACACGCCAGCATCCGCAAAGGTGCCCCGCATGCCACAGTGTGGTCTGGTCAACGCTGCTCTTTGGGCGCATTCAGGCCACACACAACACACCTTCAGGAAAACAATGCCCGACAAAGAGCTGGCTAGTTCCGGAGAGCAAGCACGACAGGACGAAATAGAAAGCAACCATGAATAACACCGGCCTTCGCAGGCAAGGCTGCTGTGCAGGAATGTGCAGCCAAGGCCCCGGAAAGGGGTTTGGAGCCTGGGCAACGGCGCTGCCAGCTGCCGAGAAGGGTTTGAGGGCGGTCCAAAATGGCTATAACGTTGCTTTCGGAAACCCATAGGAAGAGAAGAGGCAGGCCTGCTAGCTGCCAAGAAGGGTTTGAGGGCGGTCCAAAATGCCTAACGTTGCTGGCTGGCCTGCCAGCTGCCGAGAAGGGTTTGGGGGCGGTCCACAATGCCTAACGTTGCTTTCGGAAGCCCATGAGAAGACAAGAGGCAGGCCTGGGACAGGCCAAGAGAAGAGGCAGGCTTGCCAGCTGCCGAGAAGGGTTTGAGGGCGGTCTAAAATGCCTAACGTTGTTTTCGGAAAAGCCCATAAGAAGAGAAGAGGCAGGCCTGCCAGCTGGCGAGAAGGGTTTGGGGGCGGCCCAAAAGGCCGAACGTTGCTGGCAGGCCTGCCAGCTGCCGAGAGGGGTTTGGGGGCGGTCCACAATGCTTAACGTTGCTTTCGGAAGCCCATAAGAAGAGAAGAGGCAGGCCTGCCAGCTGCCGAGAAGAATTTGGGGGCGGTCCAAAATGCCTAACGTTGCTGGCTGGCCTGCCAGCTGCCGTTCGGAGGCCC